AGGTATTATAAGATGATCAGTATCTTATCAATACCCTAATAAGATATAGAAGAATGGGCTGATCTAGTGGTCAACCAGAATGAAGACTTGATTAATGCTAGGTACCTTGATGATCTTACCAATCACAAGAAGTTGCTACAAGTTAATAAGGTTAAAATTCTGAAGAGAGTAAACATTGTATTAGTAGGATACATAAAAGTATAGCCTAAATATAATAAGACTTATTATTGGAAGACCTTGGTGGAAGAAAAAATTCACAAATCACATTGAAGTCTTAAATCTGGAAATAGGCTAGAGCAAATGCAATGGTCTGATAATTATATTACTCTATAAAATTGTTCTAGGAAAAATTAAAAGAATGTCATATGGTTTTCTTTAACAGGATAGTTAATATATATAGCATATAATACATTTATTATATATAAGTCATTATATGTATAATATTATTTCAAAGTAAATAAAAATCACAGTAAAACTGACTATTCTAAAAAATATAACAACAACTTTCATACATAATGAAGAATTAAAATACCTGGCCTAGTCTATAAATTATTGAAATAGATATGACAAGCAGAACTAACATATGAATAGATCTATTATCAAAAAAAACATTGATATCCTATTGTTATAACAAAATGTCATAAACTGAAAACTATTTGCAGAACTCTTACACCTATTCAAATTCACAGAATATATATAGACAACTTCAATTACATCCAATAAAGATTTGCAATCAAACTATGGAATCCTGAACTTTTAATCATGGACAAGCTACACAAAAGAAAACCTGAAATATATACTTCAGCCCAATACTTTGTATACTTCATAACAAAATACAACATTTACCCTTTTCAATATCCATATCATAAAATTGAAATCAATAAAATAATTATCTCAATAATATATAAAGAGATTATAACAAGAATAGAAAAAGAAAACCACATACCGCAAAAGAAGAAATCTTCAAGTACATTTAAAAATCAAATCTATAGAATCTCCTAATTAAAGATATTATTAGTGGAAATATGATAAGTACTATAAGCAAGTTCACAAACCTAGACAAGATAGTGGAGATCATTCAAAGCTATACCAATAATATTTATTTCATCACATACAATATCTAGAGAGACATGTGTGAATATTTTTGAGTATGGAAAAAGATATAAGGTATTACTAACAAAATGAAAAAAAAAGAAAAAGAAGTAAAGAGTAATCAATCCCAATCCTATCCCCAGGGGCAGACACCAATACAACTGTCAGAAATCATCATTGACATGTTAGAAAATATCATCCAAGGATTCTCAAATATATATAGTATCTTTACTACACATTCCAATAGATCCTAGGTATATTAAATCTCATCAGAGGACATGTTACAGTGGATATGGTATTAATTGGTTTTATTGTTTCATTAAGCATAGAAAAAGTTTACAAGATTACTTTGTATACAAAAGTAAATATAATATATATAATCAATAAAATAGGCAAGGTTGTGTATGTTTAAAAAAAAAAATAAATAAATAAAAATAAATTAAAAGAAATAAATATTTGAATATTAATATACACTTTTTATTAATCTTTTAATTATATATAAAAAAGCTTTTATAAAAAGTTTTTATACTTCTTTATTAATAAAATCTTAATATTTTCTTTAAAAGAACTTGAAATATAACTTTAAGAAGTATTTTTACACTTTTTCTCTTGTTTACAAACCATTTTACTCAAAAATGTAACTTTTAATAATAAAAAAAAGTTAAGTAACTTTTTGATACCAATAATAAAAAAGTTTTCAAAAACCTTCCCTCAATTATAAAGTATTTGGAGATTTTTTTAACCTTTGAAATAAGAAGTTAATAAAGGTTTTATATAATAAAAATATTTCTTTTTTTTTTTTGACTATTTTATTTTTTTTAAAAAGAACTTTTACTTTTATAGTTTTTTAGGGAATTTTAAATTTTGAATAGCATAAATTCTTATTAAAAATAATTGGCTAATATGAAATATATTAATTTTGTGAAATATAAATAAGTCTTTATTAATTATATTTATATGTTTCAATAATATTATTAATAATTGAAAAAAATATTTTAGAAATATTTGTTTTGAAACTCAAGTTTCCTAATGAAGTATCTATAATGTCAAAAGATCAAGAAATATATAAGATAAATTGTAAGTTCTTATTTTTATTTAAGTTTCTTAAATGATAATAAATCTTTAATAAACAAAAGTCAAAGTTTAAATATTTTCTTAATATATTCAATTTAATGCTTTTATAAATAAAAAACTAGTTGAATTGATTTGTCAGATGTTATAAGTAATAATAAAATAAAATTTTTTCAAAATTTAAATGAAGCAAGAAGACTATTTCAATAAGATAAATTCTTTTTGAAAAGAAATTGTTTTTATTGTGAACTTTTTTAATAGATCTTAAATTGTTATTTTTTTACATTTTATTATGTGTCTTTTTTTTTTTAATTTTAACAATTCATAATTTTCAAATTGATTAATAATAATAAACTATTGATGATGATTCTAATAAATAGAAAAAATTTTAATTTAATTAGAAAAGTATATTTTTTTTAAATTGAACTTAAAATACTTTTATATAAAGATGAGTTAACTATATTGTAAAAAGTTTATAATCATATTAAATTTTTAATTAATTTTCAAATAAAGATATACTATTACAGTATAATTGTGAATCAAAAAAATATATATTTAAATATCAAAATTAATCAAATTAATCTTAAATAATTAGTCAATAATGTTAAATTTTTATATAGATTTAATAAAAAATTTTTTAATTAAAAAATAAAAAATCCATTATATTATGAAAAAAATTTTTGTTTATAAAAAAATCATTTTAGAAAATAAATTTAAAATATAGGATATAAAAAAGTAATAAAATAAGAAAATTTCTAAAATTTTTTTGAAATAATAAAATTTAAAGATTAAAAAATATTTTCAATTAATAAAAATTTAAATAATAGATCTGTGAATTAATAGTACAATGGTAGTACTTTCAGGTCACAATTATAAGATTTATAGTTTGATATCACTTAAGGATTAAAATCAAAAATTACTTTTTGATTAAGTTTATCATTTATTTTATGAAAGTTATACTCAATTATTCAGAACAAGCTTCAATCAGGTTAGGTTATATGAAGATATGACTTCTGGCCTTCTGTTAATCAGGAGTTGAGATTTATAGTTATACTACTGGAACGATTATATAAAGAAAGGCTTCTAGTTTATAACAAATTCTATTGGATGCATATTATACATGAATTAGCTTAATGAAACCTAATAAAAAATTTATAAGTTCAATATTAATTAACCTGTTTCATTATCTGATAATTGTATATTAATCATTTGATTCCTATACTAGGTCTGTCCCAATCACAAAATAGTAGCAAGTTTACCTAGAACAAACCATGATAGATTATTATTAATCTGTATGTATATATATGAGATGATTGATGTCATTACTCAAGAATTAATAATTAATAAAGTAGCTTGTATCTAATATCAGTTGTGATTTAAAAAAAATAAAAAAAAAAATGAAAATTTAATTAAATTAAAATTATATAAAAGATAGAAAAAAATAAACTGAAAATTAAAGATTTAAAGAAGTTATTGAATATAACAAAATATATTAAAAAATAATTGAATTTCGACTTTTATTAGAACTTGATAGTAATTTGCAACAATACTATTAATAATTGAACGAATTTTTACACAAACTATTAATGAAACAATAAATTATTTTCAAAGTGTCACTTAAAGTAAATAAAATCAAAACAAGCAAGTTAGTTAAAGAATTAGTTTTAATGATATAGCATATTGTATATTGCATTTATGTATATTTCACAAAAGTTTAATAAAGCATATATAATTAATCTAATAGTGAGATAATTAAAAATATATAGATAAAAAATGTATGCATATAATAAAATATTAAATTTTATAATATTTAACATAAAATATGGATTATTGGATTTTTGTTCAATTATTAATTTATTTTATTTATTATAAAGGATTAAGGTTTAATTATTATTTAATACCAGTACATTCTATTAACTTTATCACCCCATCCACCTAAAAGATTTTTCTATCATCGAATTTTATATTAAATTATAGGCAGGCTCATGTTGCCGTTTTTTGTTTTTTTTTTGACCCAACTCCTTTCGTAATTTATATCCCCCATATTTCTGGGTTTCAAAGGTTATAATATATGTATATTTCATGAGGAATCGTGTTCAGGATGTAAATTGTTTACACGATGAAACTTGATATGGCGAATTTCGACATCAAAAATGCGAAAAAAAAAAAAAAAAAAAAAAATTTCGGATATAATAGATTAAAAATCTATTATACTGTATACTCTTTATCGAGCGCAAGGGGGTTTTATGTTATTCATTAAATTTGAAACTTTCAACATGATTGATTTCTACGTATTGTGAAACGTTTCGTCTTGGCGCATTTAACGAATGGCAATCTTATTTCCTCGGATGTACAGTATAGCAAAATCTAAAAAAAAAAAAATAATTTGGAGACCCATCAGTCTTTATTTAGTATGATGAATTTTTATACGTAACCCCAATGCGTCGTGCATAAAAATGATTTTTTTTTTTTTTCAGCAAAATGAAATGAAGATTGTATTTTAAACCTATTAACAAAGCTCACATTTCAAATTACCAATCTCTCGTTAGCTGCCTTCACATGGTCTCCAAAAATATCTCAACCCAAATGTTGCGAATTCTTAGATGATGTAAAAAATAATAATGCCGATTTAATAATTCACTTTTCGACTTCCAAATTAGGACGTATTTAAAAGGTCATTGTAACAGGCGAAACCAAAATAAGATCAAAAAACGATACGATCGAAATAAAGAGAAAATAACCAATCGAATAAATGTTCATTTATATTTCCAGAATGACATAATTATATACAGAACCTACAGATGACCGTTCCACCTCGATGCTAAAAATGTAATGCATCAAACAACTATTTCATCCCTAAGATTTATTTGCGCCGGGCCTGCCGCTGTCACTATCGAATCTCTGATGTGATATACCTTTATCCATCCACCTACGTAACTGTTCACCCCCTGCAAGGGGAATTCAACACTCCGAAATACTAGCTCCAACGTCGCATCCCTTGCTACTCCATTCGCGTCCTTCCCTATCCTCAAACCTCTAGAGAATATCCAACTCAGATCTCGTCGCATACTATTATCAGGGTGTAGGAGGTACAAATGATAGTTCTTTGGATTATCATCTTCAGGTAGGTTATAGAAGCGACCGCTTACTATGGTAACACCGCACGATATTTCGCACGAGGTGAAGTGACCATGAAACGCGGGAGATATCAGGGAGTTGTGAGTATTGTGAAAGGTACTGGGCATGTAGGAAGAAGTAAGATTTGTGTGAACACATATCATACGCGACTTTGTGAACAATTGTTGAAAAGAGGTATCATATTGTAAAGGGAGTGCGTATGAAGAAGTTTGCGATGTTAAAAAGAGAATTAGAACTATTAATATCCGTAATTGTATGTTCATTGGTTTTAGTTGATACATTATATTTGTGTGCACCGTATAACTGATCTTTTTTGAGAGTGAATGCGAACACCATGAGATTATTTGTGTCATGAAGGAAAGGGAGCGGACAATGAATATATATATGTGTGTACAAGTGTACAAGGATGGAGAATGTTTTTCGAAAAAATTTAATTCTATACCATATTTGGACGTTATAGATGTCGTAGAATGACGAGCATCTAAAGCAAATGAGTAAGCGTTTATGTGATCGTCGCTAGTACTGTATGATATACTTGTAGTTAATTTACTAACAAAATAAGTACACGTTGTCATTTGCTACGCGGAAAACAAAGATCAAAAGAAGATAGTGAACTCTACTAGTTTGTAGTTTGTTTGTTTTCTAATTTAGTGTTCGCGTGAAGTCTAGAAACACGGAGCGCATTAACATGGATTTATCCAAGGCGAGAATGAAATCATTACATTACGTATTTGGATCGTGTATCAAGAATTTTTGCTTCCGATAGAACAGAGGTGTCCTATGCTTACGCTTCGGACAATTACAGATAATTTCTAATATTCATGATTTGGCTGATAAAATGAATTTATATTTCCGGTTTTCTAAATCCTTTCATTAAGGTGCGCACATTTGCATAATGATGAATTGCAGTACCTTTAATTTGTCAGGTTTCATGTTTTTTATACGAAAATTTCACTTAGATGACGTTTATGAATGATGCATCATAAAAATTAACATTTCATCTGCATAAATAAATAATTTACTCATGCCCAATTACTCCTCGAGTATTTATTGAAGCTGTCAATGATGTTGTTGAGCTGTAGATATACCACAACAATTTTATAATTATATTATTTTGGATTTTCTTTATGATAGATTTTTCGGAAAATATAACGACCGTCCGTACTTATCTGCCTCGGATATTTTATTTTTTATGATACGTATACTGATTTCTGTCATTAGTCATGGAAATGCGTCAGGGTTTATCGTTATACAACCATTTGAACCGTAACCAAATAAAAAATCGAGTAATTCACTTTATTAAACGCAAAATTTCTACTATCCATTATCTGTAAAAATTTTCACATTCTCGAACTCTGCATCTGATCGTCAATCAATACTATCTATTAACTAAATTTTATTTAGTTCGATATAAAATAACCAAACCACTAATAAATTTTTATATTCGCAATCAAAATGATTATTTAAAAAAGTTTTTTATTCTTTTACAGTTTAAATAATGAAATAATCGATCTATCCGGTTAAATATTATAAATTACTATGACATTGAATTAAAAACAGATACTGTATATGCTCTTCTTAATAATATTATAAAAATTAATAATTATATTATATTTCAAATATCATTGGTAATATATATTTATATACCGTATATAATACCATGTTGTGTATCAATTTCAACAATATACAGTATATCTAGAAAATAAAACCAATATATTTAACTAGTTACTAGTTATCAAATGACTTGTTGTCTAGAAATATTTAATTAGATACAATTATCAATTTTTAGAGTGCCCAATTAGGTTGTTTGAATTATCACTATCTAAAAAACTTATCTTTTTTTTTTTTTTTGAAATAAGTAGAACTACTAATGAAAATTGACTATAATTATTTGCTATAGTTTTCAAATATTATTATTAAGTATTTTATTATTTGCAATTTTACTATTTAAGAACTTATTACCTATATAAAATAAAAAAAATTAAATCTCTATAAAAAAATCAAATCAATTCTTTAAAGGTTTTTAATTAATATATTATAAAAAATTATATTTCTTTTTAAAAATTTTTATATAATTATCTAAATAATAACAAAATTCAACTTTTGTTTTTTTTTATTATAAGAGTTAAATATTTGTATATTTGAAAAAGCTTAAAAAACATATTTAACTATAAAAAATAATATTAAAAATAATTAAATATCTTATAACTTTTGTATAATTGAATAAATTTTTTCTTGATTTGATATTTAATAGAATAACTATAGCTTCAATAATCATACACGATATAATAAAATAGTTTTAAAGTATATATACTTAATTAAATGAATAACTATAATAAATAATATCTATTATAAAAAAAAAACTCTTCTATTGATTTCCGTATTTTTCTAAAAATTTTCTTTTTGATAATTTTCTTGAAAAACAAAAGAAACTAACTACAGCATAAAAAAAACTTTTATAAAATCAGAAACATCAAAAAATAACTATACAGGATCAGTTTTTAATATATATAATCTTCTGACAACAGAAAATAAAAAATTACAAGCACACTTTAATCATACTTTATAGATTTTCTTTCTTTATAAAAAAAAAAAAAACTTCAAGAAAACTAATTCTCAATAAGCTCTTTGAGATCCAATCTCAACTTCTCAAGCTCTCAGTCAAATCAGTACAAGTTAACAACTTTTTTGATACCAAGAGAAATCTTGTAAACAATAGGCCAAACCAATAAATCAGTTTAAACTCAAGATTCACAATACTTAGAAGAATGTCCAAATTACTTTTACTAAACAGTAAAAAGTATCAAAATATCACAACAACAATACATAATAAATACTACATTATACTAAATACAAACATATTATTCAAGAATATAACAACTTATTTATATATCAAATAAATAATCTAATTAAAATGTAATTAACTTTTTAATCTCATATACTTCAATTAAATTATTTTGATAAACAATATCAATCAACTTTAAATAAAATAAACAATAATACACATTTGATCAAAGTAAACAATAACATATATTTGATCAAAAACATAGCATTATACAAGAATAAACAACTTATTTTTTTATAACACATAATTCAATATAACTATAAAAAATATAAATTAATACAAATTACAGAGAGAAAGGAAACATATATTATAAATACACTAATATAACTATTAGACAAATATGATTAACAATAAATACTATGGATTACACAAACTATTCATAATACAATATCTATCACAAATGATATCTCAAATAGAACCCCAGGATTAAACAGATATTTGATTCTAGATAATGTCATTGTTAGAATTCTAAATATTAATCAACCCATCTTTATTAGAGCTACAGTTTTCAAATAATATATTCTTTACTTATAGGTTCAAAAGCAAGGCAAAGAAAAAAATCTTTTAGTTCCTTTCTAGAAAACAAGTATTTTAATATAATAAACCAGAAAGAAAAATCACAATAAACTTCTTATACTCTTTCAAAGAAGCAAATGATAATAGCAAATCTTTATACAATTAAAAATCTCACAAAAAAGAAAATAGATATAGAAGTTCAACCAACAATAAAGTAAAAATTCATTCTAATATTGAAATTGAAATAGGAGAAAAGGTAATAGAAGATCTAATCAAAATAGAAAAAATCACTAAAAAAATTAAAGAGGTAATATTACAGAGCAGTTTACATATTTCACAAGAAATAGATCAAAATTATCCAGCATAAATATATTTTATATCAAAAAAGATAATAAATACAAAATATAAATATTCACACTAGACTCTCAAAAGAATCAAAATATGAACAAGTGGCATATTTTCAAAATGTATTAAGACTATCAAAAAATTCAAAGCCTTTCAAAAAGAATTCCTTAATAGCAATATCTAAACAACTTTCTATTGTAAAGAAGAAAAAAATGCTTTGTAATATCTAGAGAAAACTAATAAAAAATAGGAAAAAAACTTTCAGTTATATCTCTAGAAACAAAAAAATGAATGAATATCTTATTCTCTAATTAAAAACTTTTGTCTTATGAAACTGTTCTTGTAAGATTTCTGTTTCTTTTGTAAAATGTTCCTTTGCACTTCATATGAGTTTGTATCTATAGATAAAATATATTGCTTCAAGGCTCTTGCTAGAGATATTGGGCTAATATGAAACATATTACTATGTACCCTCTTCTTTTGAGTATATGAGGGTTTCTAGATATATAATATACCTTTCTTTAGTATATTTGATTGCTCATATAACTAGACTAGTCATGATACTATATGTTTTATACAATATCAAGAACTAAAAGTTTCACTGTTTAATAATAATATTAATCTTATTATTATCTAGCTCATATTGAATAAAGATAGCCTTAATTGTTTCTTGATTGATATAGATTATTCATTCTTCTTTCATATTATTATATTGCTGGTGCATATTATTCAAGCTTTAATTCTTCTTTGTAATCTTGAATAATTGTAGATATGAATATTTATTGTCTCTTCATATTTTTGAAAAGCAAATTTAATCTTATGTCTTGAGTGACTTTGATCAATATCAATGAGAGTTACTATTAAGGATTTTTTGTTCTTCTTTTCCTTTTACCAAAAGATTTTCTTATGTATAGAGTATAAGATATTCATTCATTTTTT